AACAGATGCACTCTATGCTAGGATGTTATGCTATGACACACACGATGCACTCCTCATACCGGGAATCCTCGTATTTAAGCCCTGGGCTTAATTTCGAATTTGACCCATTTCATCTAAGAAACATTTTTTTGCTGAAATTAAGCCCTGGGCTTAAATTGGCTTAAATTCGAGAGGAGGTAAAATACAACAAGACTTCGTTCTTTTTAACTTTTAATGGAACGAATCTTATTCCATGAACAAATTCAATCATCTTTTCAACATAACTACATTATTTATAATTTGAGAGAACTCTTTTAAAATTCAAACTGTTGCGTTGAAATTGAATGTTCATGAAAATGAAACACATTAAACAACTGGTCACTGATCTTTTCCCATCCGGTCCTCATCTGTCAATCATCTTCTGAACTGGAATCCTCGAGTTGGTCCTCGTCTGTCAATCATCTTCTGAACTGGGATCCTCGGGCTGGTCCTCATCTGTCAATCATCTTCTGAACTGGAATCCTCGAGCTGGTCCTCATCTGTCAATCATCTTCTGAACTGGAATCCTCGAGCTGGTCCTCATCTGTCAATCATCTTCTGAACTGGAATCCTCGAGCTGGTCCTCGTCTGTCAATCATCTTCTGAACTGGAATCCTCGAGCTGGTCCTCATCTGTCAATCATCTTCTGAACTGGGATCCTCGAGCTGGTCCTCATCTGTCAATCATCTTCTGAACTGGAATCCTCGAGCTGGTCCTCATCTGTCAATCACCTTCTAAACTGGAATCCTCGAGCTGGTCCTCGTCTGTCAATCATCTTCTGAACTGGAATCCTCGAGCTGGTCCTCATCTGCAATCATCTTCTGAACTGGAATCCTCGAGCTGGTCCTCATCTGTCAATCATCTTCTGAACTGGAATCCTCGAGGTGGTCCTCGTCTGTCAATCATCTTCTGAACTGGAACCCTCGAGCTGGTCCTCATCTGTCAATCATCTTCTGAACTGGAAACCTCGAGCTGGTCCTCATCTGTCAATCATCTTCTGAACTGGAACCCTCGAGCTGGTCCTCATCTGTCAATCATCTTCTGAACTGGAACCCTCGAGCTGGTCCTCGTCTGTCAATCATCTTCTGAACTGGAACCCTCGAGCTGGTCCTCGTCTGTCAATCATCTTCTGAACTGGAATCCTCGAGCTGGTCCTCATCTGTCAATCATCTTCTGAACTGGAATCCTCGAGCTGGTCCTCGTCTGTCAATCATCTTCTGAACTGGAATCCTCGAGCTGGTCCTCATCTGTCAATCATCTTCTGAACTGGAATCCTCGAGCTGGTCCTCGTCTGTCAATCATCTTCTGAACTGGAATCCTCGAGCTGGTCGTCTGTCAATCATCTTCTAAACTGGAATCCTCGAGCTGGTCCTCGTCTGTCAATCATCTTCTGAACTGGAACCCTCGAGCTGGTCCTCGTCTGTCAATCATCTTCTGAACTGGAATCCTCGAGTTGGTCCTCATCTGTCAATCATTTTCTAACTGGAATCCTCGAGCTGGTCCTCGTCTGTCAATCATCTTCTGAACTGGAATCCTCGAGCTGGTCCTCGTCTGTCAATCATCTTCTAAACTGGAATCCTCGAGCTGGTCCTCGTCTGTCAATCATCTTCTGAACTGGAATCCTCGAGCTGGTCCTCATCTGTCAATCATCTTCTGAACTGGAATCCTGGAGCTGGTTCTCATCTGTCAATCATCTTCTGAACTGGAATCCTCGAGCTGGTCCTCGTCTGTCAATCATCTTCTAAATTGGAATCCTCGAGCTGGTCCTCATCTGTCAATCATCTTCTAAACTGGAATCCTCGAGCTGGTCCTCGTCTGTCAATCATCTTCTAAACTGGAATCCTCGAGCTGGTCCTCGTCTGTCAATCATCTTCTGAACTGGAATCCTCGAGCTGGTCCTCGTCTGTCAATAATCTTCTAAACTGGAATCCTCGAGCTGGTCCTCGTCTGTCAATCATCTTCTGAACTGGAATCCTCGAGCTGGTCCTCATCTGTCAATCATCTTCTGAACTGGGATCCTCGAGCTGGTCCTCGTCTGCCAATCATCTTCTGAACCGGAATCCTCGAGCTGCTCCTCATCTGTCAATCATCTTCTGAACTGGAATCCCGGAGCTGGTCCTCATCTGGCAGTACAAGACCTGAGTGCCACTGAAGAACATCTCGCAGCCTGGAGTTCAGTGGAACCTGTTCTCCTTCTTCAGCTTAGATCTTTAGGGTTTATTTGTTAATAATTCCACCTGTATTGTACCGCCTCAGCGAATGAAGACGTTACACAATGTGCATTGTTCACTGGAACATGTATAACAATAACGTTCTTACTTTCAACAGCCACTGCATACGTATCGATCACACGCATTTAAATTGTCACACTGGGTGTCTAAAATGTCACCTGTATTTTGAGACCAATGTGTTTTATATATATGAAACCCTCTTACAGCACTAACGGCATAATATAGACGAAGTTATTCCATCAAAAACGTGTTTTGAACATTTGGAAGGGAGATCACTCTAAAAGTAATTTCAAATTTAAGCCTATGGTTTTAAATTCGAATATCAAAACTCGTTATTACGCCCATTGGCTTAATAACGGTATCTCGGTATCAACCATCCCCTCATTGTATAGGCTAATACTCTTCAAATTGTTTTATAATCATTTTTGCAGTATTCAAGCTATTTCAAGGCAGCCTATAAATATACGTGTCCTGATAAGACAAACCAGTGATCGATAGCATAAGCACATCCCGCACTTTCGGGGTACGGTGTGAAGTATGGAATTCTTTTATATATATTGGTCTTCCGTAATCAACGCTTGACGTAAGAGGCGATTAACGGTATTGGGTGGTCAGGTTCGCTGACTTGGTTGATACACGTCATCGTATCCCAACTGTTTATTTCGATGTTCATGATGTTGATCACTGGACTGTCTGGTCTAGACTCGATTATTTACAGACAACCGTCATATAACTGGAATATTGCTGAGTGTGGCGTTAAACAACAAACAAACAATTTTTTATCATTATACCAGCCATGTATGGGTTCAAACAAGGAAGAATGTTTAATGACTAATAAATCAGCAAGGAAGATGACGTCGGGAAGTAGTGTCCGGGCACGGAGGGCAATAATCAGCTGATATGTTAAAGGAGCAGAGGTCAATTTTATTTAGCAGGACAAAAAAACAATGCAGGATATTGACCATTTCTAAACGCACACGCGTGATAACACCGACGTCATATACAGTCATTATTAAATCCTCGGATGTGCGCATTGTTATATGACGTCACAAGGCCAGCGTGTGAAGAGTCAGGACAATGATAACAGTCAGCATTGTTCCAACTGATACGTTTTTTATAAGTGACGGAGTGAGTGAGCATGGTTTTACGCCGCCTTTAGCAATATTCCAGCAATATCACGGCGGGGGACACCAGAAATGGGTTTTACACAATGTACCCATGTGGGGAATCGAACCCGGGTCTTCAGCGTGACGAGCGAACGCTTTAACCATTAGGCTACCTCACCGCCCCCGTTTGTTTAGACATTGGGGTACCAACATATAGAGGAAACGACAACTGATCACACATTATCATTCTTCTTTGTCAGTGATCGAATTTCCTGGCAATCATCTGATCTGCCCGCACGAGTAATTGCCCTTCTGGCTGATCCGCGATCAGCAATTACACTGACGTACAAAAGAAACTATACGCCTGGTGTTTTGAGATGGTTTCCAAAAGAACAACGTAAATATACTCATGGAAACTTATAAGGGAACACATGAAAGTACAAGTGTTCCTCTATTCTTTTCCAGGTTTCTTCACAAGGAACACTTGTGCTTTCGTGTGTTCCCTTATTCGTTTCCATGAGTATACTTTGAAAGGTGTTTTAATTGCTTGCAAGTCACAAACATGTTCGTGTTGCCAACAATAATCTCAAAGCACCAGTGGTGTAGTTTCTTTTGTACGTCTGTTGAGTTTTACTCCGGTCTATCATGACGTTATGAAATGCAATAGAGACCATAGATTATTATATTATATGGTCTCTGAGGGCAGTCAACATAGAGAGGCCCAATACTGATGACTACCAACATGGGATGTGGATGGCTCAGTTGCTATGCAGAGTAGTGGTCCTTGGGCTTGACAAAAATTATGATTACGAGTTCGAATCCCAGTTCGCCCCGACTATGTTTCTAGGTCTGTCAGCACCATGTCCGGGCTAAAGGGCTTCACCAAAATGGTTAAAGTCGGAAATCGATTCGGACTTCATCGCACATTTTTATAAGCTGGAAGGCTATGAAATAAGTAGAAACTGTTCAAGGCAGTGTTAAACCCAAATGTATGTTGGTTCCCACTCACCCAAGTGTACCTTTACCACAAAACAGTGAATATTTGATGACTGGATAATGATAACAGTAAACGATAATAGTAACCCTGATAACTGTGTTAGATTAATTAGCTCACTCACAATCAGTCAGACCCTCACTGACGAACCACTCATAAAAATGAGACAAGGTAACATTTCGGTCACATTTCTCACGAATACAACTGTACATATTAAATCTTGGCAGAAGTCGCAGTGACCTTCAAGACCTGACCCCAAATTCTACCCGAATAAAAAAATAGTTGTATTCATGAGAAATATATGTCCGAAATGTTACTTTGCTAGTCTGTTCATTCTATTAATTAGATATAAATAATATGAAAATAGTAAAACATTCTGTTGAGACATTCACGTTTGATGCCAAATGACATCAGAGCTGGACTAATTTCTGCATAGTTGATAGACAAAGAATGGGCAAAGAAATTTTGTTTGACCTTTTCTTACGAACGTAGTGGTGCAAACGCAAACAATAAATGTGACGCATCCGGAACATCATATCGTATATAAAACAGAACTTGAAACTATTGCGCTCATATGGCCCGTGCAGATCACCGTACACTTGTTATCCCCAATCCTTACGGTCCGTCTGTTGACTGCCGTATCTCGTCGACTCGGGGCTGGACCAGGAAGGGCAAAATGGCGGTGAGTGGTAGGAGTCGAAATCAAGGCAAGAATTTTGGAAACATGTTTAGCCGTCTTCAGGAAGTTCTAGCCCCTCCAAAATTAGTTGTAGTGGATAAACGAACAATCGAGAAATCATGGAAAATGATGGACAAAGTGGTGAAACTGTGTCAGCATTCGAGGATGAATTTAAGGAACAGCCCTCCATTCATCCTGGATATTCTGCCCGACACCTATCAGCATTTGCGTTTAATTTGCTCAAAGCACGACGACAAACTACAAACGCTCAACGAGTGTGAATATTTCAGAATATTCATTGAAAATTTAATGAGCAAATGCAAAAACACTATCAAGCTATTTCGAGAAGGAAGGGACAAAATCTTTGATGAGAATTCTCACTTCCGACGAAACCTGACAAAGCTGTCACTGGTGTTTTCGCACATGCTTGCGGAATTAAAGGCGATCTACCCCCCGCCTTCTGGAACATATGCAGGGGAGACCTTTAGGATTACTAAAAGTGATGCTGCAGACTGGTGGAGACGGTCATTCGGTGACAAGTAAGTACAAATAACGCCACACAACAACACCTGTTGGGCCTGTGTGTTATCGTTGAAAGAGTTAATTAACTCATTGTCCATTGTTTCCAAAACACACCACAGACAAATTGTACAGTAAACAATACTTAGTAAATACCAAAGTTTGCGTAGATTCCTGTGTCTCGCACTTAGGATGAGGCTGTGAAGTCAGTGAAGCGAGAGCTGAAGCCTGTCGCCAGAGATAATTAGTGTTGAGAGCTGATCTCAAAGTGGAGTCTTGCAACACACTGGTTCAAAATATGACTTTGCATGTGACTGACGTTAGTAGGAAACAGATACAATATATAACACTATGAGGTAAAACATACATGAGGCAATTAGGTTATGTATCACATATATAAGTTGACAAATAGAAATAATTATTCATGAATATTTTAGATCTATTTCCTTGTGTAGAATGTACACTGTGTATTTAAAAAAGGTACAGGTAAAAAGATTGGTGGCTGTAGGCATCTTGGTGCAGTTTCTGTTTTTAAAATGTTTTCTTTGCATATATACCTTCATGTTTTGAATATATTTTATTCATATTTCAATGTTGTATACATTAGTATTAGCAAAATTGTGTGTGAAATGATTGGCTGATCGTGCCAACTCACCTACATTTATAGTATCCACAAACAGTTTACAGCAAGTGACACCTTCAAAGCAACCATGAAGTGAATGGACATTTTGTCATGATTTAACTCATAGTAATGTGTTGTTTTTTGACTGTGTATTTTTTTGTGATGACAACTGCATGTCTGTGAGAAGTCTTCATCCCCCTGTACACCAGGAAATATTAAAAGACTCCAGAACCGCCATATTTTTATACCACCTGGCATCAGGTCATTTTGATTAAGCACGTCCCAAGCATCATAAACACCTTTATTATAGACCTGTGAATATCTAGGATAGAATTGCTCCTTTGCAACCCATGCTTGTCACAAGAGGCGATAAAGGGAATCAAGTTGTCAGACTTGGTGACTTGGTTGACACATCGTCATATTCCAGTTGCGTAGATCGATGCTCATGATGTTGATCACTGGATTGCCTGGTCCAGACTTGATCCTTTACAGACTTCTGCCATATCACTGGAATATTGCTGAGTGTTCTGTTAAACAAACAAACATAACCTATTTAATAGTGTATGACTGCAGAAGTGTTCCGAATTAGGAGATTATGGAGATTTTCGGGCATAGTTGGGACTTCCTTAAAAAGATCAATTATCAGAAATATTGTTGATGGAACGAATTATAACGATTATCGATATGAAAATTGTGTCATCAGTAATGTGTTTGTATTGAAATAAAGTTTTGGTAGACATTTTAAGTTACACAATGAGCAAACTTGAGTCTATATTCATGGGCGTCTTTGAATTGGGTTCTCGAGGTAATCCATGCATATCTGTCACCACTCAACAGTGATGTGAAATATTATTTTTATGGACTTTTCAATTTTGCTTAAAGTGACATCTGTGATGTGTACTGATAGTCGATCAATGTAATAGTTGACAATTAGGAGTCTCTGTGATCAATATCGATAGCCAACACTAGGCACAGTACATGTATTTTAACCAAGAAACCTGAATCGTAACTGTTAACAATAGCATGAGAGTTATGATAGTGGTCCTTGACTTCATGCTATACCAACACTTCCTTCAGCATGCTATATTTTAATAAGAAGTATTTTGTCATTTGGAATGCTTCAATTTTTCTCTCTTGTTAAAAAGTGTGAATAAACAAATCATATTTTTTTTCTGACAGCTGTTATGGCAGTCTGTAGCTTTAGTCTCTTGTCTGAAGCCTCGGTCTATTAAAAACCTGATCAGTCGTGTATGCTCAGCTTGTAGTACTTCATTAGATAATGAAAATACTAAACTTCTGAAAATGATTCTTAGAATCTTATTTAGGCGCGCTGTTATGACGATTTGTTCATATGCCACATAGCAATATTCCTTCAATGGTGCTCCCTTTTTAGGCATATATGACACAGTGCTAAAACAGGAACAGGATGTATGAAATATCCACAGCACTGTAATAGTGCTGCTATGCTGTCCTCTTTCGGAAATTACCATTTTAGTTTCTAGATAGACTAGACAAGACAAGATTTGTATTAGGTCAAACACCAATACAATATAAATATACTGAATATTCGCCTGTGCACATGGCGAGGTACGTATATAGAGAGCAATCATATTGTTATTATCATTATTGCCCTAGAGTGAGGATATGTGTGAACGATTTGGAAAAATTCAGTTTAGTTTCTTTCATTTAAGATATAATAAATACACTTTGCAGATATTGGATACTGGCTTAAGTACTTCACTAATTCATGTAGAGAAATTAGAAGCCTTAATGCTGATTGGCTGATTAGAACGTTGACTTGGCGCACTGTCGTGTTGAGGGGGTCCTCATGATCAGATCTTCACCTCAGTTATTGAATTGAAGTAGAAGAATCTATTATAAGGACATTGATTGGTCAGAAATATTTGACAAATAGGCATTGCATTTAGTTACAACTTACAGCTTACCAAATTGGCTTATTGTGAATCTAATATTCCAATCTATCAGTTTATCACATCAATAACAGTTTTTATTATATGATGAACAATCAAGTGTTGGAGACATGTCTTGACGGTGTCCTCGATGATCCCTTTGAAGATCCCTTCTGAATGAAAGCACTGAGGCGTGCTAGTCTTGACTGAAATATCAGGCAAGGTTGTAAACACTGCATAGACTGAATAGTCACTCCTTGCGTCATTTGGAGGCAGTGCACTGTGAGCCATGACATCATTATATGTTACTTGGGTGGGGTAGCCTAATGGTTAAAGTGTTCACTGGTCACACTGAAGATCCAGGTTTGATTCCCAATGAGGGTACAAGGTGTGAAGCCCATTTCTGGTGTCCCCTGCGTGACGTTACTTAAATATTGATAAAAGCAGTATAAAATGTCACTCACTCACTCACTCACTCAGTTGTTATTAACAGATGAATGCTGCAGATCACCAGGTGTTAACAGCTTGTATCAACCAATGTGCTATCTCTCTCATTGTGCCTGATGTGAGGTGAGGTGAAATTGGGTTTTACGTCGTGCTTGAGAATATTTCGCTCATATGACGACGTGCATGCTTGTGTATGTGTATGTGCGGCTGCTTGTACTAGCCCAGACTTAAGCTGGTTTTATAGTGCTAGCCCACAGAGATACCATGCCGCAGTGAAGCATGAATACCCCACTCAGACACATTATACTGACTCTGAGCCGACCATTCCTTGTTGTACCCATAAATGTCGAACGCCAAGCAAGGACCAACAAGTACCATATTTTAACGTCTTTTGGTATGACGCGGTCGGGGATCGAACCCTCAACCTTCCGCTCTCCGGGCGGACGCTCTTACCACTACACCACGGAGGCGGTCATTGTGCCTGATGTATATTACCTGGGGAGAACTGTACAATATAAGTTGTTCACTCAAGCAGACATTGCAGTGTCCCAGAAGTACACAGTTCTGCTGTTACAGGAGGTCTGCTTCCTCCATCTGTGATGTTAGGTGTTCTCCTGTGGTATAGTTCTAATTGTGACTTTGTAACACTGTTTCAGTCGCTGTTTGCCCAACACACATTCCTGTCGTTAGTCCTTACAGCATAGCATACGGTTTTGTTGAATCATCATGGTGTGGACATATTAGGTGTTGTTGAATCATGGTGTGGACATATTAGGTGTAGTTGAATCATGGTGTGGACATATTAGGTGTTGTTGAATCATGGTGTGGACATATTAGGTGTAGTTGAATCATGGTGTGGACATATTAGGTGTTGTTGAATCATGGTGTGGACATATTAGGTGTAGTTGAATCATGGTGTGGACATATTAGGTGTAGTTGAATCATGGTGTGGACATATTAGGTGTTGTTGAATCATGGTGTGGACATATTAGGTGTAGTTGAATCATTAGGTGTTGTTGAATCATGGTGTGGACATATTAGGTGTGTTGAATCATGGTGTGGACATATTAGGTGTTGTTGAATCATGGTGTGGACATATTAGGTGTTGTTGAATCATGGTGTGGACATATTAGGTGTTGTTGAATCATGGTGTGGACATATTAGGTGTTGTTGAATCATGGTGTGGACATATTAGGTGTTGAATTGAATCATGGTGTGTTGAATCATGGTGTAGGTGTAGTTGAATCATGGTGTGGACATATTAGGTGTAGTTGAATCATGGTGTGGACATATTAGGTGTTGTTGAATCATGGTGTGGACATATTAGGTGTTGTTGAATCATGGTGTGGACATATTAGGTGTTGTTGAATCATGGTGTGGACATATTAGGTGTTGTTGAATCATGGTGTGGACATATTAGGTGTTGTTGAATCATGGTGTGGACATATTAGGTGTTGTTGAATCATGGTGTGGACATATTAGGTGTTGTTGAATCATGGTGGACATATTAGGTGTTGTTGAATCATGGTGTGGACATATTAGGTGTTGTTGAATCATGGTGTGGACATATTAGGTGTTTGTTGAATCATGGTGTGGACATATTAGGTGTTGTTGAAACATGGTGTGGACATATTAGGTGTAGTTGAATCATGGTGTGGACATATTAGGTGTTGTTGAATCATGGTGTGGACATATTAGGTGTTGTTGAATCATGGTGTGGACATATTAGGTGTTGTTGAATCATGGTGTGGACATATTAGGTGTTGTTGAATCATGGTGTGGACATATTAGGTGTTGTTGAATCATGGTGTGGACATATTAGGTGTTGTTGAATCATGGTGTGGACATATTAGGTGTCGTTGAATCATGGTGTGGACATATTAGGTGTCGTTGAATCATGGTGTGGACATATTAGGTGTTGTTGAATCATGGTGTGGACATTAGTTGGTGAATATGTTAATGATGTTAACAACAGATTATGGGTCCATATCTTACAAGGTGTCAATATGTTATTATTTTTTTTAGGCAATCTCATGTGTTA